GCAAAACGAACGAGCGATGAATATTACCGTGTCGTCCCCTGGCGGAGTCTCCCTCAGGCCCTACCTGAATTCCCACGGTGACAAATTTTTGCGTGGTCGTTTGAATCGCCGAGATACTCAAACGGAAGCTACGTTGTTTTGTCAACGCCTACTCGTCCTGAAACAAGAATGGCTATTGTTTCACCCGAGATCGACTGTTCCCTTAGCAGCTCTCGATTGCCTATCGAACTTGTCGCAATTACACGGTTTTTCCACGTAGGGCGTGCCCCTACCACGTCGCCTGCACGGCGCAACAAGCATAAAAAAATCTTCGCAATCTCTCCATCTGTCTCACCGCCGCCTCTTCTCTCCGCCGGTGACAAGATGCTCGCAGCTCGTCTCTTTCCCTCTCGGTCCGATCTTGCAGCATCAATAGACTCCTGCTCTGCCGGCACTCAAGGAGCTGAAGTAGGTCGCACTGGTCGTTTTCTGAGGCAGCGCAGGTTTCAAGAGCAGCGCGGCACGAAATTGTGGGGCGTGGGACGACCCCTACGAAACACACCGTGCTGAACATCAGCGAGACGCAACGCGGGTTCGTTTAGTGAAACCCTAGGCATGCATGGCACCCCGTTGGACCCAAACGTTGGTTCCAGCCGCATGTATCCCGAAAGCATCCGTCCCCACCACTTTTCCAACCACACTCCCTCACACACACGATTTCCAAGAACACGAAGCCCCCATCTATGCCCACTTTCTATCTGTGATCCCGAAGCGTGGGTCTACCTCGGCGGTCAGCAGAAACCGCCTTCCAAAGGGGATGTCACGCTGCCTTTTCAAAGAATTCCAACCTGAGTGTTCTCCTCCTTTACCATTTTCCAGGGCCCTCATCGCCTCGAGCATGCGATCCGAGACGGATGCCCTGGCCGCGTACATGTTTGTGTCCTGCCTCAGCACCCGCCGAACCTCCTCCAGGGCGGCTTCTTTTTCGACCCGCCTGCTATTCGCTAGGCCGGACTGCCCCAGAGTCGTTTCGTTGCACAGGTGGAGGTGGAGGTGGAGGTGGAGGTGATGTGGTTGGCCTACATGTTTTGGGTACCCTTCTTTGGCATCGACCGTTTCGCGGTTTGAAGTAGGGCAGCAGTTCGATAGGGTGTGTCTTGTGAAATACTAATTACTACGGAGTAAATCGGAAGAGATTGTGGCTAGCGGTTGCTGTGCTTGCAGCGGGCCGTGCTCTTGCGTGTTGGGACTTCCTCTACAATGATATTTGCAGACGCCATCTGCCCCTGATTGAGACCTAGCCGCACCCACCTCGATCACGATGCGTTGCAGACGATGTCGTGTTTCCGATGCCGCGCCATGTCCTGATTGCTGGGCGTCTTCCTCCGCGGCGAAACGGAGCTCATTGAACAGGATCTCCGCTCTCTCTTTTGACACGCACCAAGCTTTCTCGTGTCCGTCGGCGGCAACGCCTGCCTCAGCCGCCATGGCCTTTTGTCATGCCGGGAAGTGATATCCGGCGGTCCCGGTATTGCATGCGAGAACGGCGGTGAAAATTAGCCTAGTGCCTCTCGTCTTCAACCCACAGCCTCATATCAAACAATCCTTCTACAGGAACGCCAAGACGCCGTTCTTCTCGCGTGTTGGTACGTGCGGGGGGCGGGTGTTTCGATACTGAAACTACAATATTTCGATGCATGCATCCCGTTGCATCTTCCGTGCCGCGTCGAGTGGTCCAGGGTACCCCTGGTTGATATGCCAACGCCATGACATTCTGCATATTCTTCTTCGAATTTCTACGTCTACGGTATTTGTGCACGAAGCATGCATAGGATCTAAACGCCCAAAAACCACATTTTACGTTGTGCACCTTGAGCTTCACCGTGGCATTCCGAAAGTTCAGAGGAGTTTCCACCCCGTCGGGTATAGCAGCAGCGCTTTCGTGTATCTCCGCGGTCTTGGGCGTACTTCCCGCCCCGACCTTTGCTAGAGCACCAGGACCGGGTTCCGTATCAGAAACAATGCTTTTATTGCCCTCAACGCAGTTTTCCGGTGCAACAAGTATCCCGAATTCTCCTCTGTCGCCGCCGCTAGGTTCAGCCTCTTGTTTTGCATCGGCGTTGTCGCCACAGAGCTCTTCTGCTGCTACTACGCCTCCTCCTCTTCCTCCTGCTCCGTCTCCACCTCTCCCTCCGAAGGCATCATTATGCCGACAGTCAACATGAACGTCGTCGCCACCGCCATCCCGGCAAGCGGCCCTCGAGGGGGCACCGTGACTCACACAAGGGTACCCAACGTGGCTCGGCAGCTCGCTACCACCTCCCGCAACGACGTCAGGCATGCCTGCAGGAGTCATGTCAGGATCCCGAAAACCTCGAAACCCCCGAGATGCTGCACTCTCTGCCACACCGGGAATAACTCCTCTCTCGCTCTTGAGGGCGTTTTCCATGAGAGCAGGACTGCTGACTGTCTGTAGACCATCAAATGCCCTCACCCCATGGGATGTGGCACGCTCCGGCGGGGCGGAAGACGGTCTGAGTGGCAGCCGCTCGTTCCATCCCATCGAAACAGCTTCATGATCGACATCAACGGAGGCGCTGGCGTTGCTGGCACCCGACTCCGGCCTCATGGATGACGCGAGGTCTCCAGGTTCGATTGGCGGCGCTACTCTGGCGTCGACCGTCGAGCCTACGACATTGACCGTGCCAGGGTTTGGGTCAACGGCAACCGGAGCAGGCAGGGAAGCGAGGTCTGGCGGTTGACTATCTTGCGCATCGTCAGCAGTGATGACTGTAGAACGCTCAGTTGGCTGCTGCTGCTGCTCCTCCTCCGACTTCGGTCTTAAGCTTGTCCGTGTTGAATGAGCCGCAGCACTCGCCCCTTCGTTCGCCTTGCGACTAACAATGCATTCCTTTCCCTCTTCATGCTCCTCCTCCTCCTCATTCCCCCCCTCCTCGAGCTGCAGCTGCTGTTGCCAGCGCCATGAATCACCACTGGGCTTAGGACTCTGACGGGACTGTAAGCTCTTTGCGATAGATTCGGCAATTTGGTCGACTCGTTGGCGAAGGCTCTCTCCATCAGCTTGTAGCCTTCGAGAGCCTCGATCGCTGTTGAAAGAAAGGTTTAGGGAAATTTCAGAGGTGTATAAAAAGATCCCTGGGTCAAGTTTCAAACACATCGCTCGGTCTGTAGCTGTATGTCCTGTCTTTTGTACATGACTCTGGGAGCCGGGCAGCAGAGAGGTACTATGGTGTCCAGGTCTTCAGAACGAGGTGAACGGCTCGTTAGGCTGTAGACAGTATATCGGACGTGGAGAGCGGTTTGGTCTTTGCATGTCGCTTACCACATGGTGTTTGGCATGCACCACTTGCCTGTTCTCGGGTTCAAAACACCACGCCTTGCCCTGCTTCCTCGAGGAGAAAAAGCTCCTCGCAGTGTCTGGCCTCCGCCCTACCCCCCCTCTAGCAAGAGCTTGCCTCCCGTCGTCGTTATCACCGTTGCCGGCACCACCACTACTGGCTACGCTGGGGCTCGCGATATAGCCAGCAGTTGACGGGCGCCGTGGCGATGACCAGCCCGAAAGCGATGTGCACGACCGCCCTTCGCCACCCAGCCGCCGCTGTGCGGAGGAAAAAGAAGACCTGGACGTTGCCAATGTAGCACCGGAAAACCCGCGTTCCCCAGGGCACACCTGTATGCTTCGAGGCATGTTGACGCCGATGAGGGTGGCACCACCCCCGAACGGACGCCGGAACAGCGGAGACGTCGTCACTGTACCCGCGGGGTGCTGCGTAAGGATTTTCGTTTGTGCCCTTGCTGATGTATCATCCGCTGTATGTTCCCGGCATCCTTCTGATGACTCCCCAGTTTCCATGACCGCTGTGGCAGGCACTAGCCTGGCGTCGCTGATGTCGCAAAGAAGGCGACTTTCTTTTGATTCGTGCCTGTCGCCCATGACAGTACCGCTTACCGTCGGGTCAAGCAGCCGTAATGGGTCGGCCCCATCGCGATTTGTCTCCTTACACGACCCTCCGCGCGGTGCTTCATCGCCCGCAGTTTCCTTTCCAGCTTCCGTCTTCACCTCTTCCGTTGTCTGTGACACGGATGACATTTTTGAGGCCTTCTCGTCGCTCTCCTCGTCTATGGCGTCGCCAAGAAACTCGGCGGTGTCCCTGTGCTCCCCAACCCTTGGAGCGGAGGCCGGCACGCCGGATACAAGTTGCGCGAACGGAGAAGCGGCGCGTTTTCGCCGTCGTCTTAGCCGGAACGACTCTCGGCGCGCCGCCTTGAGAACCTCCGTCCGCGCACGACCTCGCTCCGCGCCCGCGCAAACTGCACCGAAAACAGATGTCCAAGTGCACTCCTTCCCTCTATCTCCGACGGGAAGGGTTGTTGGAGCCGAATATGAGAAGTTGTTGCCGCCCAGCGGAGGTCCTCTTTGGCACGCTGGACGGCTTCGTTGGCTGTTATTGCAGTTTTTGGTGCTGTTGGGCAAGCCGGTGCCCTTTGCTGAAGCCGACCGGTTCTGTGGCGCACGGCTCTTATTCCGGAGTGTCGGCCGCATGGAACAGAAGAGGTCGAAAGTGAGCGGGGTCATCGGCAACGAAGGACTTTGTTTTTCTGTTGTTGATACATCCTCTTTGTTGCCACTACTTGCCTCGTAGTCGGTGACACCTCCGCAAATGCTTGCAGGCTGTGCGTGCTGATCCTTGTAGCTGCCGTCCCTCTTCCCCGTGGCACCGACAACGTCGCCGTCGATATCAGGTTCCGTGGGGCACGACAGGAACGTGGGACTATTCATGTTTGGCACGAGGGCCGTCCATTCAGACTGATCGATCGTCTTTCTTCTTCCAGTGTGAAGGCCGCTCTTCTGTCTTGCTCCTGTGGAGGATTTCTTTGGGCGTGATGACCTATTTCGGTTGCTTGGTGTTGCTGGTGATGAGTTTGCTTTCTGGTGATCCTTGCTTCCTCGACGCCACCCTGAACGATTCCGTTTGCTATCAGCTACTGGGTCAATTCTCATGGCGCCGTTGACTATTTTCTCGTTTTCTGTACGCGGGGCTGGTACCGAGGAGGCCGGTGTATGAGGCCCGGTTTTGGACAGAGGAGACAATGGGTCATTGTCCCGTTCCTCCTTTGCCCTTGCACCCACTATTTTCGACACGAACTCCGTGACACTCTGCATGGTGGCAGAATCAGTCCCAAGGTAGTCGTGCTCATGCCAGAAACCATTATCAGCTGCGGCGGTAGCGTTACACGTACCCTCCATTTCTGGGCCCTCCCAGCGAAGAGCTTTGGCCGTGGTTGCATCGCCGCTCTTCTGGTCGTATCTCCATGGTGTGGCACCACGGGTAAACGTGCTATCTGCTTGTTTGGGAGCACTGGCTTTGTTGAATGCCCGGGGGTACCTGGCGGAGAGGCTCGGACACGCGGCTGATGAAAGCAAGCTTCGTTCTTGCGCACTGCGGCATCGGCGGTTTTTCTGCGTCAACGAGATTTTCCGCTCGTAAGTAGAGTTGCCTTCAATATGTTGCTGGTGGTGATGGGTCCTCTTAGGGCATGACGGCATTCCTGTAGCGGTGACCGGGCGAGGGCGTGATGGCCTCGTGGGTGTTGGAAGTGATCGTGCATGGCTCACGGCTGCCGCGCTTGCTGGGCGAGCAACCGTGAGGGGGGATGGTCCTGCTTGCCCTGATTGCGTGTAGGGCCTCGAGTTCTCCTTACAGGTCCCTGCGGGAGTGGCCGAGAGTCCAAAGGTCCGCGGCTCTCCTCGTCGTATCGCGGCGGAAGCACTTTTGGGGCGCCGTCGTCGACGGCCACTTTCTGGTGCTGGATGGGAGACTGATGGCGGCCTGCAGGGTGACGGACAGGTGGTGGTTCGAGAAGGCAGGAATGGCAAAGCCTTTTCTCGAGCTACCGCACACTGGTGGCCAGAGGCAGGTTGTGGGTAGATTGGGGCACCAACTGCAACTCGTGGGGGTGAGGTAAAAGCCCAAAGTGTGCGAGTTGTCTCGAATCTCGGATAGTGTCGTTATTCCAATCAACACGTGGGGCTGCAAACCCTGAAGAAAGTATGGGTTCAAGGTCGAACTCGGCCTCCCAACCTCCCCCCCCCGCGTTGTGGATGGTGCCCAACCTGCCCCTCTGGCCACCAGTGTAGTTATGTGGCTGATGGCGCATATTCTACCACGGATGTACTATTTACTGCTGCAGGCTCTGCGCGCACAGGACTACAGGAACGCAGGTCCAGCAATTTGCGGGAGACTCTAGAGTTGAAAACCCTCGAGGGCACGTTCTTCTGCTTCGATACCATCGGTTTTAGGTAACATGGAAGCCAGCAACTGTGCGTACAGTGGCTGGGTTGCCTCACGCAATATTGGTGGTCTGCTGTGTATAATAGTCTATTCGGCGTACCACATACGGTGTGGTGTTTGGTACCGCGGCAAGCAAGGCAGAGCCAACAGCACAAATAGAAGCGTCTTTTGCCACACGATAGGGATTCATATAGTCTAGTCTATCATCTGTACGTGGGAGTGCTGTGGGCTCAGGCGAAGAACTACTGTTCACGATGGCGAAAACTTGATTACGTGATGACACAGGTACTCGTTTGAAAAGCCTCAAGCTGAGTGTTTTGTGTAAACATTATCCCACGTCTACTAGTCTACAGCAGTATGTTTTGCACCAGAACGAGAAGTCCGAGCACGCTCACATACCTCGCAAGATGTTGTGAGTACAGGGCGACCGCTTCTCTAAAATGTGCAGTCGATGTAACTGCTGCCGCTGGCATCGCCAATCAAGGGCCTCTGGAGCTATACCGGCCTACTGGCCGACATCAAAGCGCATCTGCAGCAGCTCTCGCAGAAAGATCGAAGATCCTCACGAACAAACAGTGTTATTTGGTTTGCAGAATTCCTCTAAATTTGCGCCGTTGGGGGGCACGCAGAGGGGGTGAACCTCCCCTCTACGAACCCCCGAAACCACTTGGCTTTTGTGTATCCACAAAGCTTCGGCACACGGAAGCCGATAGCTCGGCCATCAGGAGGTGATCCCAAACAGGACTTCGAGGTCGTGTGGATCAGGTATGGAACTAAAGATATGGCCCCTCTCTGGAACGTGATGCTACTTCTAGCACTAGATCTTGGCATCGCACAGAAAGGTCCAATATGCAGCACAGGGTACGCAGCGGACAAATAGCGTTTGAATTCGCATAGATGCACATGGCGCTACCTCGTGGCCCCGCTCTAGCCCAAAGTCGCCTCCACCCCTGTGCGAGTGCCGGGGATCATTGGACTAGCCCACGATAAGAACGTGTGTTAGCGTTAGCACAATACGCACGGTCCACGGCAGCAAAGGCTCCGTGCTGGGTGTATTGTGTGCAGGAAGCGCCTGTGTGGTACGCCAGCACATGCATGACCACGAAGCACATGACACGCAGCACAGAGGGGCACACCCGTTGCGACCTAAGAACACCATGCACATGTGATGTCCAGTCGATGCGTAGCGTGCTTGAGGTCGAGGCCGTGGTCAATTGTTTCGCAGGGGTTGATTATTCTCTCCTGAACAATTATAAACACGAAATAAAATTACTTCGAAGTAGGTGGACTAGATTATTATAGTCTTTATTGTACTCTGTATCCTGCGTACTACTTTTTTTGTGTACAGCAGTCGTCTGCTGGGAGATCCTTGAGGGGACAGTTCATCAGCGCGTGTCCACCCACCCGTACGCGTTGCAGAATATATATTTTTTGAGGTTGATGAGGGATGATTGCATTTGACCACGTGTCTGATTGCCGGGGAGGCAGGTGCTTGCGATCAATACTACTGCAGCGGCTGCTGGGACGCTACCCCTCCCCCCTTTTGCCTGAGCTGATTCTCACGTTCCACGTCGCTATTTTGAGGAAGAAGAGTACTAGTCCCGACAGGGCTGTATCAGAGGTAGTTGACACATGGATGACAGTCGTGACAACTGATCGCGTACTCGGTGCGTACCAAGCTCAAACGTGAGTTGCAATGCCGTCCCGTCCCGCCTGTTCGCCGGATGGGTGTCTAGGCAGGAAAAGCATGCCTCGCAAGAACAGCAACAGGGTGGCGAACGTAAAGAAGAGGGCTCGTCGTCCCAAGGGGCGGCCGCCGGAGCGGGCGTGGGCGCAGACATTAGCGCAGATGAAAGCAGCAGCGGCAGCGGCGGCGCGGAGAAAGTCCCTTCGCACTCGGGGAGGCGAAACGTTTGTGCGCCTTCGAAACGGCGGCTTCAGTAACAGCTGCGGGCCCATCTGCTTGTTGCAACATGCGATGAGTGATAGCCTCCCGATTGCTACCATCGAGAGAGCCACCAATGGCGAGATCGCGTCTGAGGTACGAGGCGCCCTGCGGTACATTCGCGACATCACCGTCGACACCTCGCACGGCCACACCCTGAGTGTGCTCGACCCCGACGAGGAGCGTGAGGTTCACGGGTTCGAAGATCTGGTGGATTCCGCAGAGCGCGACATCCTTTCGAAGCCGATGTGGGACAAGATCATGCGCTGTCCGTACGGCTACTTCGATGGCAGGGCGATGATGATCGGGGCGGACGCTTTGGGTCTAGATGGTCTTCTGATAGTTCGGGTGGACAGCGCTGGATTTTTGGTGGCGATGGATGGGATGACGACCCCAGTTGCCGAAGCGAAGCATCTCAGCCACTGCCCTCTGGTTTTGGTGGGCTCAAGAAAAGTCAGCCTCAGCTTGAATGCCACCCCCACACGCCCAATCCTCAAAGCACGTTTCAAAATAGCGAAGGCGTGCTTGTATGGCGGGCTCGTCACGACCCACTCCGGGCGCCGCCCTTCCTCGCAGAAGGTATCCACAAATGTGTCCGTCGTGGCATCCATATGACTGTCTGCGACCAACCTGAGGAGGGTGACAAGGACCAGGAAAAGGCTTGATTTTAATAATGGAGAAACGGCACATTGAAGATTTAAATGACAGGATCGTCTGCCAATAAGGGTGGCTGATGCCCATGCTGTAGACTTTGTGTGTCCTATATATATATATATGCTAGTTTTTACGCCAAAAGATAACAAGGCTTCAACAAGACTTCGTAGTTCCAACAGGCACTTGGAATACAGTGATGGGCACCATGAAGACAAAAAAAAATAAACACATACAGACATACCTGGCATCGACGTCATTGGTTGTCACGCCGAAACCGTGGTCCTTTAGCACAGTGCTGACTGCGTCGTTGGTGCTGCCACAGCAATCGAGCACGCCACCGGCCATCTCCACGTGTTGCAGAAGAGCTCGAACCTGAAGTAGCATCCCGTGGGGCAAACGCAACGGTTGCATGAGACTTTCATATCATCTGCCTTATACCCCGGTCGTTATGCCTTGGGCACAGTAATTGCCTATTGTTCCGTGTCGCTAGAGTCGTTAACTTGTGCAGGCCCAACTTTCGCGAGGCAAGGCGTGGCAGCGGCTGCCGGAATGGATCCTGAGCACTACAACAGCAGAATCCTAGCACCCGTTGCTCTTATTTTTTGAAAGACGACAAGGTTCAGGATTCCGCTATAAATTAGAACTGAACAGTGTAATTATTACCTCGTTTGTATGAGAGACCACATAATAAGACCTCAAACCTAACGGCGTGTGCTCGGCAAGAGGGAGGAAGGAATAACTACAAGTATGATCGTCAAACTACAAGTATGATCGGCAGAAATTTGCAAACAAATGCGAACCCCTACTCCGCAACACTCTACCTCCGCAATAATCTACATCCACACCGTGTGTTGCGGCTATAAATGCGATGCCGAACAGCTTTTTGAAACTCTACAATCAAGGCGCCGTGGCGGATCCTACACAAGCCAGATTACAAATTATGCAACGGCGATGTGATGTGCGTACTGCTGTGGACGTGTCCGGAGATGATCCACACACATCTCGAGACCACATCACCTGCGAACCAGTCGACGGGTACCGGCCCGTACGTGAGGGCTGCCCGAGCTCCATCTTACTCCCTCCTCCTCTCTCTTGCTTCTTGCGATGGCACTTGAACAAGTTGTACATCTGGAAGACGCAGTCGGGGCGGGCACAGATGCACTCTCCAACGCGTAGAGGATCTTGAAGAAGGTCTCGAGCGTGACGCCACCCTTCCCCAACACTTGCAGACCACTCGCCGAGGTCCTCCCAGTGCTCCGTATCCGCTACGTGGTTCCACTTTCTCGAGGACCCGTCACGACTGCCGGGCCGATCGCACGCGAAGCATAGCCCGAGCCCCCCGTCTGCCGCTTCTTTACCATGCACAGCTTTGCCACAGATGGCGCGAGGACCCCGCGACATCGCCGAAAACCGGTGAATCTGCCGATTTCCAGCTGCTCACTAGATCACCGATTTCTAAGCCCTGCGAGAGAGATCCCTCACCAAACTTCAGCAGACGAAAGGAGATAACCTCAGCTACAGCCCCCCCCACCTGGTAGCAGCTAACTCTCCTGCTAGCACTAGATCAGGCTGCCTCTGACCGCCGCACCGAGTTGCTCCGCGTGCCAAAAATTTGCTCCCAAGCAGGTCTGCTGTGCTCACACAGCGCCGATTGACGGCGTTTCTCCTGGACTAACCCCTCGAGCTTTACTAACTCCGTGATCTGACGCGCTGTCGTAGTGTCTAGGGCGCGGTGGGTGGCTGCTATGGCTGGTTTTGTGAAAGTGTACGTCAGGGGGCTTTTCCGGGGTATGTGATTTTTGTTGATGAATACTGTGTGCGGATCCCCGGCGCAGTTGAGATTTTACGTTATCCGCCCATACTTCGCGCCTCGGGGACCGATTGGCTTCGTTCTTTTTCCTAAACCGTCCACACGTACCAAAGCTACAGGCAGGTCCTTTCTTCATCACCAACGGTGTGCTTCACGGCGACAACTCGTCGAAAAGGAGCGAAAATTTCCAGAGGAGCTCTGCAAACCAAATAACACTGCAAATTCACGTGGGTACAGTACAATATATCGTTCCATCCCGCGGGACCCCCAGCATATGCCTCAAGTGCTCAGCACCCACACAGCACCTCAGACCAGCACTGCTGTGCCTTGTCCGACACACGTGTACACCCACACACGATGGTACGGGGAACTACGGCAGTCCTGTGCACCACTCTCTCGGTGGTGAGAGGTGAGAAAGTGCTAGGTATGCTTCGGGAATTGTTGTGAAATTCAACCACGCGCTCAGAGTTGAACATGCTGGCAGCAGAACAGCGTGGGACACGGTCAATCCTTGTCAGCAGCACAGGAGCATCAGGCCTAACGAGTGCAGCGGAACCGCTGTTATTCTTGACTCTTTGCTGGTGTTTTCTCTACCTGGTCTCGTATATTACGTGCTTTCACGCTGTTGCTGCATCGGCTCAACAGCAGTCAGTTTATTCCAGCACTTGCCTCTCGAGGGAACAAACAGCAAACGTTGCTGCGCACAGCTACACTACAGCAGTGCATAAACAACAAACAACAACATGTACAGCAAGTGTACAGCATTGTCCAGCCTGCTGCATTACCTACCTTCTGGCGTCGTCAGTGTTCACCCACAATATTGATATATGTTGCCGTTTGGATTGCTAAATGCTAGGCATTGCTCCACACATCGAGTGCGCTTGTGTGCATGATATCACCCTCACGGGGCATGTCCTTCAAAGGGCGTTCTTCGCCAGACCCACGCGTCCTTTTTTTTTCGCATCAAACAATCTGCGATCAAAGCAGGAAATATATACACAGTCTCGCCGCTGCGACCGACCCCCCATAATTTGCCCGTTGCAAGTTGATGTGTGTGCTCGCGGACAATATCCTTTGCGCCCGTTCACGACATCAAGGTAGTCGATATTAGTTTTTGAAACAGATCAATGCTGCTCCTGTTGGAGTATATATTAGTAGCCGGCGACGGCATATTGCACGAGGATAGACAACCTTCCTACCATCTCTAGAGAGTAACAGGCATTGGGTTTGTCAACGTAGCTTGCGTAGTCGATGACGCGACTTTCTATAGTCACTTTCCTGTTTCAAGGACTCTCCCCCTGCTAACCTGTCCGCTAGTGTTATTCGTATGGCGCATTTGCTAGCTCCCACCGCCACTCACCAAGAACGCGTGCTGCCCACACAATTGACATGGCATTTATCGCCCCTGATGCCATTCCGGGATGATCCATGCCGATGTAGCTTGGGATCGCTCCCACGCGCCTTCCGCGTCCTTACCTCCCGCTCTCTCGCTCTCTTGCTCTGCCCCTCTCCCTGCCTCTCTCTCTCTCTCTCTCTCTCTCTCTCTCTCTCTCTCTCTCT